TTGTTATTTTACGGTGATAATCTTGTTTTCTTGTGCCCAATAATGCATAATTTCATTTGATAAACACGTTTAGAATGAATGGTAATTTATAATCAGTCACAAGAACGTCGAATCTGAATCACTTGAAAAAAACACGGGGGTGCTTAACTTTTTTCCAGGTGTATATTTATCTCAACTAAGAACCTTGTTCAAAAAATACTGTTACCTAGCCTGGCCTGATGCCAATTTGGAAGGTTAGTTCTAGGTTACCTGATGCCAATTTGGAAGGTTAGTTCTAGGTTACCTGATGCCAATTTGGAAGGTTAGTTCTAGGTTATCTGATGCCAATTTGGAAGGTTAGTTCTAGGTTATCTGATGCCAATTTGGAAGGTTAGTTCTAGGTTATCTGATGCCAATTTGGAAGGTTAGTTCTAGGTTACCTGATGCCAATTTGGAAGGTTAGTTCGAGGTTACCAATAATTCTTCACAGTTTATGCAGAATTTGTTTACAATTTATAGCCAGAAATTGTGATTACTGTCATTCCTCGATAAATTAGGAAAATGTTAATGAACATCAATAAATTTCAAATATAAAACGGAAATTACTGATCAAAAATGAACATTTTGTAACATTTTTCAAATAAAATGACTCTCAACAGAATTTTGGAAATTTCACAGAAAAAAAAAATTGATATAAGAAATAAATCAAAAACATAATAAATTTTGAGCTGAAACTAGATCCTGTTTAAGATATTTTTCTATGTTTCAAGGAATGTATTTAAGTATTTCCAATGTGTGAAAGAAAAATCAAGGTGATCAGGAGAATATTACAAAAACAAACCACCTTTCAAAAATCCTGGGAGTGCATCTGAATTGTATTATTTGGATATTAGCTAATAACAAAGGTCTTTGTATTATTTGGATATTAACTAATAAAACAGGACTTTGTATTATTTGGATATTAACTAATAACAAAGGACTTTGTATTATTTGGATATTAACTAATAACAAAGGACTTTGTATTATTTGGATATCAACTAATAACAACGGACTTTGTATTATTTGGATATCAACTAATAACAAAGGACTTTGTATTATTTGGATATTAACTAATAACAGAGGACTTTGTATTATTTGGATATTAACTAATAACAAAGGTCTTTGTATTATTTGGATATTAACTAATAACAAAGGTACTTTGTATTATTTGTATATTAACTAATAACAAAGGACTTTGTATTATTTGTATATTAACTAATAACAAAGGACTTTGTATTATTTGGATATTAACTAATAACAAAGGACTTTTGCATTATTTGGATATTAACTAATAACAAAGGACTTTTGTATTATTTGGATATTAACTAATAACAAAGGACTTTTGTATTATTTGGATATTAACTAATAACAAAGGACTTTTGTATTATTTGGATATTAACTAATAACAAAGGACTTTCTGCACTATGAAATTTGTGCAGTTTCTCTCATTTCATGGGAATGAAACCACTGAAGTTTTATAAAGGAAACACAGTATCAAATATAAATTACCTTTGGACAGAAGTATACGGACACAACCATAGTATGAAGAGGAGTCACTATACAGGTTTAGTCAAAAGACACACCAACACATGTCCTCCTAGTAATATGTTTGGATTTACAGATGTTTCTGTATTTATTTTTGTTGTTGCCACAATATGTTTGACTAAATAAAACAATTATAGCATAGCACAGTTTGTTTTTATTCTTTAAAAAAAAATATCATCAATAATGGATATAGTAATACCACATTCGACAAGACACTTCAACGATACCTGAACAGCCGCCAAAAAAACACCACTACCGACAACTCCACTGAACAACTC